GGGGTTGGGTATTGAACCCAAGGCTTTTTGTACTGAGCTACATTCCAGCTCTTTAATTTTTAAATTTTGAGACAGGGTTGCACTAAGTTGACCAGATGAGACTTGAACTTGTACTCGTCCTACTTGAATCCCAGAATCCTGAGGTTCCAGGTGTGTGCTCCTGTGCTCAGCTTTATGGTGTATTTTGGGTCTCGCTATAAGCTGGGCTTGTCTATGGACTCCTCCTACCTGAGCCTTCCAGAGTACTGGGATTACAAGATACACCTCCACACCTACCTTTTAATTTTTTCTTCTTTCTTTTTTTTCCCCTAGTACTAGGGATTATACCCAGTGCCTCTGCATGCTAGACAAGAACTCTACCAGAGAGCTACAACCTCAGTAATTTTCTTTTTAATTTTATTTTTTCTAAGATACTTTTTAGGGCCAGGGATTTAGCTCAGTGGTTCTGCTCCCTGCCTCAAAAGTGTAAGGACCTGAGTTCGATCCCTGGTACCAAAAGAAAAATACAATACTTTTTAGTACATGATAACATTTGTTGGGGCTAGCTGGTATGTGTATGTAACACATTTTAATTCTTTTTACTTCTCTTTACCCTCCTTCACCCACTCCCAGTTCTTTTATAAAAGAACTATTTATTTTTATCTTTTTATTTTGAGCTGGGCATGGTAGTGCATGCCTATAGTCCCAGCGCTCTGGAGGCTGATGCAGGGGATTGCTGTGAGTTTGAGGCTAGCTTGTGCTACATAGCAAGACCTGTCTCAAAAAACAAAAACAAAGTTTTTTTTTAAATTTTAAGGCAAGGTCTAATGTTTTTTGTGTTTGTACCAGGCATCAGAATTAGGACCTTGCACTTGCCAGATAGGCTTGGGACTCCTAAGCTACATCCCCAGCCCAGGGTCTCACTAATTTGCCCAGGGTGGTCTTGAACTCTCAAAGCCGCCTGCCTCAGCTTCTCAAAATAGTGGACTTTATAGAGCTAATATTTGTTAAATACCACAATTTTGTTAAATTAGAAGGTCTTAGAAGCCCTTTTTATTTAAAAAAATTCTTTTTAGTAACATTTCCTGCATTCTGGTAAATGGTTTATTTTCCTGATTTTATTTAATTTCTCATAACTGAATATTGCTAATGTCATTTCACAGAAATGGGAATGGAGATTCATGATTTTTTTTTTTTTTAACTGCTTTCACCTTATTTTTAGTATATGTACTCAGGGAAAAGAATTTCCTTTTAATTTTTTAAAAATTTTTAAAATTTTTGATATCAGGGATCAAACTTGGACCTTGTGCTTGAGAGGCAGGTGGCAGCACCGCTGAGCTAAATCCCCAGCCCAGAGTCCAAAGTGTTTGAATCAAATATGAATCTGGAACTTGTTCTTTTTTTTTTTTTTTTTTTTGTACTTAGGATCAAACTCAGGACCTTGTCCTTTTTTTCGTTTTTTTTGGTACTGGGGATTGGACTCTGGTCCTTGC